GGGGGGGGGGGGGGGGGATGTGGAGGTATTAGGTGGTGGTGGTGGAGGTAGGGTTGTTAAACGAACCAAATTTGAACATTTTTTTAAGTTTGTTTATGAGTAAATAGTTAAACAAGTCATCTCGCTTATGTATAAATAGTCGAAGGTGTAAGCTCGAATTCAGCTCGATTATCACTCATAGGTAGAGGTGATGCGATTTGGTTAATTGAAAGACAACATAATTAAGCACTATAATTTATTAAAATTTGACTTAATTAGTGGAATTGATAGGGTTTGGTCTAAAATTTAAAGCAACATTAATTAAAGGAAATGATTCTTAGAAAAAAAAATTGACTTAGTTGGTGAAACTGATAAAATTTGACATGAATTTAGAAATAAATTAGCTTAATTAACATTTTATTTGGTTTTTATTTGAATTAATTAACATAAATGATCAGATTTAGCTTGATTTGGGAATAATTTTAACTTAAATATTAGAGCTGATTGGAATTCAGGATCATTTTTTATTGCATAAGTTATTTAATTTTTAGAGGGGACATTACTGTCTTTTTATATAATAAATTAGTAGCATAATTGTCTTAAAACAGTAGTCCTACTAATGGAGGAAATTTATGGAAGATTAAATTATACTTTACTCCCCTAAACAATTAGATATGTTTCACTTTGTATCATCAATTATCAATTTCTCATATTACACATTAAAATATTAATTTTGTTTCGTATCACTCCAAGATAACGAGAAACTTGAAAATCTATCAAATGAAGAACGAAAACCCCAAAGAGCTTTCTGCTAAGTGCTTAATATCACTTTATTTTACCTTTTTTGCAACCAAATGATTGTTGGGAAGAAAAAGCAGGTCGGCTAGGGAAAAAAATTTGCAGTTTAGGAAGGGCAAAACTATGGATATGTATTTTTCTTAACTTTTGACCTACACATGTATAATAGGCAGTTGTTTATTGGTAGTACAGACCACTCATACGCGTATTTACCGTTAAAAAATTGATAGTTGTGTTATTATTAAAGTATTAAGGGACCACCATGTTATTTGTCTAAATATTGCTCCAGTTTTAAATTGATCATTTTCTTTATGAAAATACACATTTAATGTAATTTTCTTACAATGTTTAGATTTTTATGACAAATCATCACTACTAAAAATCATTTTGTAAGATGGTAAATCATGACTATTAGTTAAAAACCTTATTAGTACCCAAAACCTTATATAAGATGCGGCTATCTAAAGGAATGGGTGAATGGATTTTTACAATGATGGTGAGCGAGAATAGAATTTTTATTTTTTTATTTTTTATCAAAAGAATAGCAAAATTGCTTACCTCATTTTTTGTCAATAATTTTTCTTTTTAAAAATAACATTTATTACCTCATTTTTCAATCATTTCATATTGAGTCAACTCAGCTGACATTAAGCAAAACAAAAGTCCCAATGCAAACCAAACAAGCCCAAGCCCAAGCCCATCAAAGTTTGGGTTTACCAAACACCTCTCTCTCTGAACCGGCAATCACATATAAAATGCCCGGATTCCGCCGTCCCTCAGCCACTTCTCTGCTCTTCTCCCCTCCTTGCCAAAACCTCAGCCCCCAAACCTCTACTTCTCTGTCTCTCTTTCCTCTCTCCAAATCTTCCCTTACTAAATTATCTTTATCTATGTACACGTATATAGAAGTATGTATGTGTTTTAGGTGTGTGTTTGTCTTTTGATCAAACAGTTGAGCTGCGATTCGAGTCTTAGTTAATTGGTATGCCACCATGTTACCCTCTGTGTGAATAATTATTATCCATTTTATGCTTATTCATGTATAATCTTTTTTTTGGGTGCTTTTATGCTGTTTTAATTCTTTTATTTGGAAATTATTGTTGTGGGTAGTTAGTTTTCTGTAATGCTCCATTCTTCATAGCTCATATGTTAATGGGTGTATTGCTTTATGGCTATTCACTTGATTAATAGCTGTCTTGGTTTTGAAATGGGTACACACATGTTTCTCGACTTTAGGTGTAAGCTCGAAAAGAGGGTGTTTTTGTTTTCATGTCATCATCGGGTTCTTTAATCCGAAAATAAGAAAGTAATGACTTTAGTGGTGTCTTATATGTAAATTTGTCTGATAGATTTTCTCTTGTTCTGGTTATTAATTCAACTTCTTGCTGGAACTTCATTTGTTAATCTTTGTCATTTTATGGGGGTGTATTGACAATATCAGGGGTAGAAATGGCAGGAAAATCGAACAAGGGAAGGAATCGGAGAGGGTCACAAAATTCAACTAATCTTTCGGAGCAGTCGGATGCTCCCTTGAAAGATAACCCGAGTCCTTCAGAGTCTTCCAGTGCTGATGCCAATGGAAATGAAGCTGCAACCAAATTGGCTTGTGCCACGTCTGAGGCAGAGGAGCCACAGAATACAAAATTGGAGAACCAGCCAAAGCAAGGTGAAACTTGATTTGTTGGCATTCTATTGGTTATTTCATAGCAACAAATTCATACCATCACTTTGGAAACTATCTTTTTATTATTACTTTGGTTTTCAATATCATTATTTTGATTAGAGAACTGGAAAATTTGCAATTAATCAAATAGATGACACTATCAAATTCACAGTTAGCTTTTGATAGGCACAGACTGGAGCAGGTTGTATTCTTTGGATTACCATGAATATGCAAATTCTTCAGAGTTCCTCTCAATGTTGGGCATTTTATCAAGAAGTTGATGAATGGAACGATAAAGGTTCTATTTCAAAGTTGTAGATGTAGACTAGCAGCTCTAAGCAGTAATCGTAATCTATAGTTACATAAGTATGCATATGTCACTATTTGAATTTCCCATGTTTTTTCTTCATACCTTGCCCTGATCTTTGAGAAAAGTTGATCCCTTTGGCTAGTGTTTAATGCTCAAGATGTGCTTGAGGCGCCAAAGTCCCATATTGTCTAGGAGCGAGACACAAAATGAAGCTGCCTAAAAGAAAGCAACAAATGTATGTACTAAAGCTTACATGAATATATTTTTGTGTGTGCATCTTGACAATCATAGACATGCAAATATGATTGTTAAGTATGCATTCATATATGCGGAGAAAAAAGTATACATAAGATACATGTCATTATTGTATGTTCTATTTACAACAGCATTATAGATATAGTAGTTTTTTACTCTAGTTTTGTTAAGAGATAGTAGACAAAAAGGACATGGTAAGAGTTTAATTTGGGAACTTACAGAGTAAATTAAAAATGCTGTTAGAATCTGTAGAGGTGGACCTTTTGTGGCAAACAACGAGCTTAGTGATTCCTTGCCAAAAGGAGCCTCCAAAGAAGGTTAGGAAATTTTTGCAGTCCCTTTCTTTATCTTGGTACCAGTGGGCCTTGACATGATTGTTAACTTTGATCAATCATAGAAAAGTAAGAGAAAGAAGCACAATCAACCAAACAACTTTAAAAGAAAACTACTTATAAGAGGTCTTTATATAGTAAACTAAGCTAGGGCAACATAAAAGAAAACAAATGACTAAACTACCTCTAAGTCTAAATATAATAACTATTCTAACACCCTCCCTCAAACTCATGATGTGATAACATCAAACATCAAGAGTTTGCTAAGAAGAAAACGGAAACAAGTGACAGGATGCGATGTTGTAAAGAAATCTGCTAGTTGCATACAGTCCTCCCTTTCTACGGCGTGTCCCAATCAGCTTGTTGGACTGTGGATCCTGAAAGACCTGAGGTAAATGAACCTACTAAAGGAAATACTGTAAGTGTACCAGGTTGACGGAGAGAGATTAACTTTTGCAACTAATCAGCAAGCATAGTTAGGCTGGGTGCCTGTGAGGAGGACTCATCCACTGTTGATTGATTTGCTGTCCCTTTTGCATTTTTGTTCATCTGTTTAGGGCATTGAACCTTCTAGGGGCCCTTCTCATGACAGAAGTTACACTCATCTAACGCTACACGATCCCGATATTTAGAAGTCACTGTGGGAGGCACACCCAATACAGTCTGAGTAGGCGATGGAATAAGACTTTTTCCAGAAAAAGTCTTAAGACGAACTTCTTTAGCCAGAAGCTTATTCACTACTGCATCCACTGAGGAAAGTGGATTACGATGAAAAATAGAACCACGAAGTCCCTTGAAGTCATCCTTGAGGGCCATAAAAAATTACATTAACCTCTGCTCCTCTCTAAAAGTGCGATATATCATATGAGTACTCAGTTCAGCAGGTTCAGTAAGTGCTGACTGATCCCAATATCCAGTCATAACTGAGTAGAACTCCTGAATGTTCTTATCACCCTGACATGCAGCTCGAATTTCATGCTCTAACTGATACCTCTTTGCAAAATTAGACTGAACAAATAAGGTAGTTAAATAATCCCAAATCTCCTTGGTTGTATTAAACTTAGTCAAATGAACACCAATGGTTTGATCAACTGAGTTGTTAATCAAAGTGATGATTTTAGCGTTGTTGATTTCCCAAGTATTCTTTAAGTCAACATATTTCTCGACCTTAGGATCAGTTGGAGCTGACGAATCACCACTAACATATCTCCACATTTTCTTACCCAACAAGAAATTTTTCATAACATAAGCCCAATATACATAGTTCTCACCTTTTAATCTGACACTGATAGCTTGAAGAGAATCAGAATTTTCACTAGCCATAATACTCAAATCAAGGAATCCAAAGCAAATATTAAAGTAAACAAACAAAATCTAGCAACCCGACAACCTAGCAAAATCCAACAACCAAACACCCAAATAGCAAATAAGGGCCCAATAGAAAACCAAAGCTCAACAACTTTGCAAATCAAATACTCACCCAACCGTTCGTTCACAAAAATCAGCCCAAAGGCTCAAACCCACCGATCAGTAAGAAAGGAAACAAAAGTTTCCTGCTTATTTTGTGCGAAACAATGCAAATAAACCCAAACAATGCAACGCTATGTCAAATAGCAAGCCTAAACAAACAATGCAAACAAACCCAGACAATGCAACGCTATGTCAAATAGCAAGCCTAAATTAACAGAAGAATAGCCAAACCAGAACTAGCCCCAAACTAGCAGTAGCCAAAATTAACAAACTCTAGTAGTTAGGATTTCTTACCTTGCAAAGACTAGTTCAGCGAGGAAGACCCAACAACGAGAAGCACCAACAGAAGAGAAGAGGCAGTCAACGCCAAACAATGCAAAGTTCGTCACAAATCAACTCAATAATTTTGCAAATCATCTGTTACTGTTCACAGCGCGTGAACAGTAACTTATGCACTGTTCACAGCCCTTAGAACCACAAAAATAAATCAGCAACCCTAATCCAAGAATAAATCGCCATAGAAGATGTCAGCCCTAATCCAATAATATATTCTTTCTTCAACTAAATTATTGTGGTGTTACAATATATTTTGGATTGAAACCATGCTCTGATACCATGTTAACTTTGTTCAATCATAGAAAAATAAGAGAAAGAAGAAGAGAATATTATTGAGGCACAATCAGCCAGAACAACCTTAAAAGAAAACTACTTATAAGAGGTCTTTATATAGTAAATTAAGTTAGGGCAACATAAAAGAAAACAAATGACTAAACTATCCTAAGTCTAAATATAATAACTATTCTAACAATAGCTATCCATAATATTTGCACATTGCAAAACCAGGATTAAAAAAATATCGAACTTTTAATTCTTATTATTCTTGTCTTTGTACGTCCGATGCTTTTTTGATGTAAGTTTCACTGTATTTTCTGCCGCGTGGTTGGAAATCTGACCATTTCGTACCACTGAATTATTCCAGATTTTATTTCTTTCACATGAGGGAGATTTGACTTATTTTGCTTTTTCTAACAATTATTTTACATATTTATTTTTGGGAATCTTGGCTTAAACTCAAATCAAAAAGGCCTTATTTCAATTATCTTTGCAATATTGAATGGATGCTGAGCCCACTCACACAAACACACACACAAGTACATCTAACCTGTGAATTTGTTTTGGAGTGCAGGTGACATTCATCTTTATCCTGTTTCTGTCAAAACACAAGGTGGCGAGAAGCTGGAGTTACAAGTGAGCTAACTTTTTCGACTTCCTTCCTTCTAGTTAATCACCCTGTGGGTTATTTTATTTCCTGCAAAATGAGGAGACATATCCTTTTTTGCTTATTGGGTGTCTTTGATCCCCACTGTTATTTTATGCACTGCATAATGTTTGATCTTTCTTTTCTTTGTTGGCTAAGAGTCATTAATGCCATCAGTTTTGGACTGCTTTACGTGGAAAGAACTGCCTTGACATTTATTTCCTATACGTGAAACAACTCCCACTGCTTATGAATTTTTAAACTGATTGCAGTTAAGCCCGGGAGATTCTGTAATGGATGTTAGGCAGTTTCTTCTTGATGCTCCCGAGACATGTTTCTTTACCTGCTATGATTTGTTACTGCGCACAAAGGACGGCTCTGTTCATCATCTGGAAGATTACAATGAAATCTCGGAAGTTGCTGATATTACTACTGGTGACTGCTCCGTGGAGATGGTTGCTGGTATGCTAATGCACTTTTAGTTGTTTGCTTTTGTAAGTAATGCACACAAATAACTGAGTGATGTTTTTCACCCTATAGTTGCTCATGCCATCCAACAACAGTATGAAGACTCTGAATGTGGGTTACAAACAGCCTTATTTGTGCTTTAACTTGAAAATATTTCTTGCAGCGTTATATGATGATAGATCAATCAGGGCTCATGTTCAGCGCACAAGAGAATTGCTTTCTCTTACCTCGCTGCATTCCTCATTATCAACTTCACTTGCGTTACAGCACGAGACAGAGCTAACCGCATCTGCGAACTCAGGAGGTTTGGGATTTCAAGCCTTCTATCTGTGTCTTTTATGGCTTTACTTTACTTATGTTGTTATTTGTTTCTACTCTTATCAATCTAAAAACTGTTAGAAAAGAGGAGGAGACTCATATTAAGCTTTTGGATTTTGATATGATCTAGATCCTGTAAAGGTTGAAGTACCCGAGCTCGATAGTTTGGGTTTCATGGATGATGTTTCTGGTTCACTGACTAATTTGCTGTCATTGCCTTCCAAAGAGATCAAATGTGTGGAGAGTGTTGTGTTCTCTTCATTTAATCCTCCTCCAAGCTACAGGAGGTTTGTTTTCTTCTGGACATCTTTATATGTTGGAAAAACTCGTTGCAATATTGTAAAGAAAATTTCATTTCTTCTGGGCATATTAATATGTTGTAAACCCTAGATTGCAGCTTTGTAAATAAAGTAAATTAGTGCATGCTGTTCTTATTACCTCCAGGCTTTCTGGGGATTTAATTTATCTGGATGTGGTAACACTAGAAGGAAACAAATATTGTATCACGGGAACCACAAGAACGTTCTATCTCAACTCAAGCACTGGGAATATCCTTGATCCAAAACCTAGTAAAGCTGCTGCTGAAGCAACCACCCTTATTGGACTCCTGCAGAAGATTAGCTCTAAGTTCAAGAAAAGTAATAATATGTGCTTTGAACTGCCTTAATTCTCTTAATCTCATTGTTGTTTGACTATCTTATTGTATATGATTTCATTACTTTGCGTTTTAATACTGAAGGCTTTTGTGAAATTTTGGAACGGAGGGCCACTGCTCATCCTTTTGAGAATGTCCAATCTCTGTTACCGCTGAACTCATGGCTAGGGTTATATCCTGTTCCTGGTAAGTTCTATGGAATTTAATTTGAAGCTTTGTGCTTTTCTAAGTATGCATGTTTGGCCTCATGGAGTTGCATTTTTCTTTTTACTTTTCTAGTTAATCATTTCGCCTTCAAAAGCCCTTCTCCTGGGATTTTCTGAGGCATGATCTCAGTTTTCTACTTCAGTTTTCGTGCTCAACTCATCTTGTTAAAGATTATAACAGAAACGCCTAAAACATTCTTTATTTGCCATACCAATTTAGTTAAACCACATTTTCAACTCAAAATCTGTATTTGAGCCCAGAGTTTGTGTCTGTGTTTGCATACATGAATCATGAATTTGATATTTTATTATTTTCAATACTTCAATGCCTCACAGTTTGAAAGTCCTGCAATTGTGAAGATTGATGGTTTTCCATTTCCTTTCCCTCTTTACCATGTCGTGCTACCACGCTAGCGTTGTTCAAGAGATTACATCCATTACCACTTTAATGTATTGCTCAATTTCCCATGCTGCTCCTGCATAGCCACATTACTTTCTTATGTCTTATGTTTCCTCGGATCTCAATTATGTAATTTACTATTAGTATGCATGGCGATTTTATGCCTTATTAATACCACCCTTTTCTAATTGTCATGTCAATGCACAGAGAAAGAGAAATAAGCATCACTAACTATATGTGTTTGCTTCTTATATGAAAACTGATATATGTTTCACCAATGAATGCATATGCCTCGGGTTCACTCAATAATGTATCTATCTAAATTATATTCTAACGTTCCTTCATTTCAGATCACAAACGTGACGCAGCTAGGGCAGAGAATGCACTGACGCTCTCATTTGGAAGTGAGCTAATTGGCATGCAAAGAGATTGGAATGAAGAATTGCAGTCTTGCCGGGAGTTTCCGCATACAACGTCTCAGGAAAGGTGTAATTTTATATCTATCTATCAATCTATATCACTTTCCATGGCCTTTCATGTGCATTCCTAAGTCTCGATTTTTTCAGTTGCGTTGATGCAGTTCATGTTGTCGTGCCATTGATTACTTATGTATAAAATTTTATTGCAGGATCTTGCGTGATAGGGCCCTTTACAAGGTGACTACTGACTTTGTTGATGCAGCAATTAGTGGTGCTATTGGAGTCATCAGCAGATGTATCCCACCAATTAATCCAACTGATCCAGAGTGCTTTCACATGTTAGTATGATCTGAACGCTAAACCCAGATAATTTCTCTCAACTCATTTATGTTACCGAGTGATTGACCTTATTAAAAAAACCAGGAAAGAAGTTTATTAACTGCCTTAATGTTGTTTACCTAAGCAACTTATGTGCCATTAATTTCTGCCTCAATTGTTTTTGTCGCTTTTTTTTTTTTTGGGGGGGGGGG